CCCCAAAACCCCAAAACCCCAAAACCCCATTAAATGAAAAATCCAAATCTTAGAGTAGGGGTGTCCCAACAATTAAATTATTTCAACTACTTTAAACTCAAATGTTAAGCCATTTAAATAAACTTAAATGTTTAATTCACGCTAATATATCACGCAGGTGATGCCTCCAAGTTAGCCTTAATTCTAGCCCTAATTATACGATCATAACTATTAAACTCAGCACTCATTTCAAAATCTTATACAGAATCCACTTTAAAGCAAATTTAGAGTGAGTGTTTGATTTAATGAGGATGATAGATACATGATTATGATAGATCTAAATCAATATAGATCTATTGAGCATTTAATACATTTCATATGCACAACTTTCAATATATAGGCTCCAAGTTAGGCTGACTTAGCTAAAGATAAAAATAACGCACTGATTCTAGTTCTTGAGCCAGATATCATAATCAAAGATATAGAAACAATATAAAAGGATGATAACTTATTGTTAACTACCAAGAAAGCTTTAAGGTAGAATAATCTTATGCTAAAGGGTATAGGGATGAAAATTATATCCTATTCTTAAAATACTGAATAGTAATATATCATTTAGAAATTGAATGAAAATGGGACTTAAAATATTCAACTAAATTAAAACTTAAATATGACCACAAATTAAGACTATAAAAACCAAGTTAATGAATAACTAGATACAATGACTTCAACACCTTGTAGGTAGCAATTTTACTAATTTCAGAATTAGCAGTAAATTAATTTACAGAACAATCAGTACTAGCAAAACTAGCTTCAAACATAGCAATAGCAATTGGGACCATATCGTATACCTCTTCGATAAGACTGGAATGTAAATACTCATCCAGTGTTTGAGACCTAAAACATGCAGCTATACTATGATCAAACAATGAATCTATAAGATTCGGCTTAAATAATTGGAAAAGTAAATGAAATAGCTATTGGAATGGGTTTTAAAGTTTACAGGCATTCTGAAGATTGCAAGATTAATAAAAAGGAACAAAGTTTGATTCTTCTATGCCAATAGTATCCTTAATAAAGATGTCCATTTAGATTAATTTATTGCAGAGAGACAGACGATAGTGCAATAAGGGATGGAAATCTTTTTGGAATAGGAGATTACAGACTGGCAAAATACAGACCTGAGCATAATCATAAAATGAATTAGTAAATTTTAAATTAGACCTATGGAAACGGACACTTAACTCTCAATAGTAATGTAAAAACATAATAGATTGAGGTTTCTGAGTAGCCCTAGACTTAGAATGGGCCTAATAAAAATCAAAATAGCTAAAAGCCAAACGAAAATTAAGAAAATTAGTAGGTATTAATAAAAAGAACGCCAGATAAAAAACTCTCTTGTATGACTAAAAATTCATAAAACTACTCATAAAAATCTAATAATTCTCAGATATCAAATAAAAGTAGCAACAGACCATTGCCAAGTGTATAAATATTTCATGTTTAAAGCACAGCTCACAGTTTAGATAGGATATAGAAGAAATCTATAGAAAATACTCATGAAATTAATCAAGAATTTGATGAAAATTAAAGTTAATTTATAGATTAGTAGGGATCTACTACAATCAAAGACAATATTAAAGTCAAAGTTTAATATGATAGTCAATAAGATGATGAAAATAAAGTTGATGAAGAAACGGATATTGAAAATGAAAATGAGGATGATGAAAATTTAGATGATTTGTGATCCTTATTCAGTTTATGACTTTAAAATAGAAACTCTATTGAAAAGAATAATTTAATTAATTTAAAATAATTAAAATATTGTGTAAATTTTTTAATTAATTTATATAAAGTAACAATAATTATGAACTCTCAATCTCCAAATGTATCAAAGCAACCCTCAAAAATGAGTGAATAGCGTTACGTCCTAGTTAGACGTCGATCAACTAGATAATCTGTAAGTCCCTTTACTCATTCCATTTTTATTTTGAATTTTTGATATAACTTTTATTTTTTAAGGTTTTTATGGATTTTGAACAAGTGAAGAGAATGAAAGAGTAAAGAAAAGAGAAAATAGCGTAATTCATTAAGAAATATGAGGAATCTAAAAGTCATAAGGTGTCGACATCAGATGTGATAGAAAAAATATACAACAATCAGAGGGAAGCTACTGAGGTAGAGATCAATGTTGTAAGTGCGAGGATCTTACTAAACAAGGATTAATACACTGAGTACAAGAAGGACATTCAAAACAGACTGTTAAAGGATGAAATAAAGAGGTTTGTAGAGTAAATGGAAAAGAAGTATGGAGCAAAATATGTAGAGCTAATGAATGACAAAGAAAAAGAGAGGTTCCAAGATCTTAAAGAGCAATAAAATGAAAAGAATGTTGCTCAGTAGCTCGTTTTATTACAACAGCAATCTCAGGAGGCCTAAAAGGAGCAAGATGACATTATTGATAAAGCTTTGAAATAAGGAATAAATATCAAGGTCGACAACAGAATTAAAGATAGCGATTATATTGTTGGGATCTGTAACAATGACAAATATGCTTTCCTTAATTACAAAAAGAAGAATTTCTTAAGGAATAAGGACAGAGTACAAAGTGAGATAGTTAGCAAGATGAATCGATTGATTTAGCATAAGTAAGAAATACTTGAATCTAAGCAGAGATCAACTATCAAGAGAAGTCACGGCAACACCAAGGAGTCAATGGATGGTGGGGCTTCTACCACTCATTTGAATTCCTAAGAATTTTAGAATAGGCAGCTGGCATTTTATAGAGTGAGCAGCGGAGAAATACTTGTTGAAGGTGATCCAAGAAATGAATAGGAGTCTGAAAACTAGTCTAACACAGAGGAATTAAAAGAACCTGATGATTAAAGTCCAAATATTTAAAGGAAAAAATAGGTATTTAGCTCATAGGGAGAGCATAAAGGAATTAGAATAAACATAACTCGGCCAAAATCCAATAACCTGACCTCAGCTGTTTCAAGATTTAACTTCAATCAACTAAAAAAGCACTCCTAGGCAGATGCTTTAAACAAAGCAGAACGAATCCATGAATTTGGATAACGAGTTTTATCTGATAATGGCAGAGAAAAAGACACTCAGACAAGTTCTAAAATGCCCCACAACATTTCTTTTTTACGTGCATCTTCTTAATAAAAACATCCTAATATCAACACAGCATCTAACTCTTTCATTATAGAGAAACCTCAAACGAGTAAAGGCAATCAGTAATTTCCATCAAATTCAAATATGAGCTTTTTATTTTTCAGCAAAAACTCTGCAAATTAAGCATCTGATTATACTGTAGGCAGTCCAATATTATCTAGATCTAAATTATATTAGACATTTATGCAAGGTCAGCCAACAGTTGCTTCCATAGCTAATAAAAATAGATCCACTAATTGCACTCCATAGGGAAAGTTTGGTGTCCTAAGGAAGCAGATGCTTTCTAGAATTCAAAATAAAAATAATGTCTAAGAGTGTTTGATGGAGTCTAAGAATAGTTTTAATTTGATAACTAAGCCTCCTTCTAGAATGGACGAAAGACCCTTTACCTAAGCAAATTTATCACGAACAACTAGAAATTAGTACGATTACGAAAAATAAAAGTAGTATAGGTTGCTTAGTAACAACAGTAACTTAGACTCTAATGATAATCTTAATAGAAGCTAGTTGAATGAATCAAGCAGCTCTTATAACTTCCATAGAAACGTAAAGAACTAGCTTAAGCTTCTCAGAAAAAATTGCAACTCAGTGATTCACACAAGATAAGTAGATAAGAGTAGAGTCGAAGGAATCTACAACAGACTCAGAGAATATGAGCCAGGAAACGAGATAACAGAAATACTTGATATCATGCCAGATTCAAATCCAATCCCTAAATATGATCAACTATTGATTCAAGAAGATATTAGGAAATAGAGATTTGATGAAGCTGTTGAGTAAATTTAAGGTATGGATTTAGTAGATATCCAGAGACCTCAGACCATGTAGAGCTTATTGAAATATCGTATATAAGAGAAAAATGATGTAAAGATAGAGGGAGTTCTAGTAGAGGGTGAATACAGAATGGGTATCAATGATCCTAGTAGAGTAGCTGCTTAATGGGAGAAAGTAAAGGGTATAAAGAAGATTGTTGGTAGAAAGGCTATTGTTGATGAGTTTATGAAACGAGTTCAGGGAATTAAGGACAATAATCTCAATCTAAACTTCAAAGATCCCACCAAAGGAGATCCAATGGGTGAATTATGATGACTAATCGCCCCAATATAAATTACAGTATACTAATTAATAATACAGATAGAAGAAGTTGACTAATAATAAGAAACTTCAAATTATTTACTTCCTGGTATCATTCAATGAACATATCTAGGGGTTTTGGGGTTTTGGGG